ACAGAGAGCCCCGTGCCCCATGTACTGGGACTCTGCTGCAGACAGACAGCACCTGAGCTGTGCAGAGCCCAGTGGTCACCCACCGCCCCCTGGGCCCCAGGCCAGGCTGTGTCCCGCCATCAGCGGACAGTCCTTTCCCTGCCCCGGCCAGGCCCAGGGAGAAGACGGAGGGGGCCCAGTCCATACCAGGTGGCAGGTGGCCGTCACAGGGAACGTGGAGACGGAGGAGACTGGGTCTGGAATGAGGGGCAGGAATCTCCAGTGTGGGGCCTCTCTGGCACCCTGGGAAGGAGGCACTCTGGGAGCCAGGAAGCCGGGCCTGCCAAATACACCCAGATGGGGCTGGGGCCCTGGCCTGGGGCCCTGCAACTTCCTGGCCCCTGCCCCCGGCAGCCCAGGGGAACAGAGCTGGGGTGCACTATGGACCCTGTCACCCCGACCAGCTGCTGTGCCCAGCCAAGGAGGTGCCCACGGAGGAACAGGGTGGAGTCGGAGCAGAAGGGAAGCCTGGACCCCTGAGCTAGGTGTAGGGGGTGTAGGGTTTGCAGGTATAGGCAGAAGTGTGGGGGAGGGACGCTGACAGTGCTGGGGGCCTGGTAAGGGGAAAGTAGGGGTGGGGGGACAGATGTGGACTCCACAGCCACGTTTCCCAGCACCGTGGGGCCAACATGGATGCTGTGGGGATGCTGGGAAGAGGACTAGGTCTCATCTTGAAGGTTGTGCAGCAGAGGCTGGGGGCTGAGGGGGCACAAACAAAGGGGAGACTGGGGGTGGGGCATCCTCAGGGCCTAAGAAGGAACGAATTCCCCGCTGAACTTGGGGTGCTGGGTTTGGTGCAAAGGCGGGAAAACAGCCCAGCTCCCTGGGACGTCGGGTTCAGGCTCCCAATCCCCCTCTCCTCCCACCACCAGCAACTGATGGGAACTGGGAAAGGGGCTGGAGTCAGATTCTCGGCCCCACCGCCCCTGCAGCCTCCAGCCTGCTCACTATATGGACGTGTGCCCCCCCTGTACACAGGAGCACATATCCGCACACATGCACCGTGTCAACATGCAAGCCATGTGCACATCCACTCCTCACACATGCACATCCACATCCACTCACCTCGACGCACATGTGCTTATCACATACATATCCACACACACATGCACAGCATGTGCACACATGCCACGTGCACACACACGTGCACACATGCCTGCACACGAAAGGTGGCAGGCAGCCGTGGGCAGAGGGATGGGCAGCAGGAGCTGACTTGCCCAGGGATGTGGTCTGGGATGTGGCAACGGGCAGCGTTCCTAGGGGCTGTGGAAGAGCCATGGACACACCAGAGAAGGGGGACGACTGCGAGGCAGAGCTCGGTGGGGGTGGGGGTCCTCAGGAGTGGGAACGGCATCCCCTGGAGGCCAGCAGTTGGGGCAGCAGGCAGGGCCCCTGGGAGAGTGGTGACCCAGTGACCGGAGGGACCGTGGAGCGAGCACCTGGGGGCCTGGGAGCCATGACCAGAGGCACGGAGCTTGACTGCGGAATGAGGGGCCCGGGGGCAGCTCACAGCATCGAGGAGGGGCTGTCCCACGACCTGAGCCCCGGAGCCTGGGGGACGGAGGCGGCCATGCGGAGCCATGGGGCGTGCCTACCTGTACGGATGGCCAGGGTCAGCGGGAGGGGACATGTGGGGCTGCAAGGGAGGGGGGGAGAGGAAGCTGTGAGGGGAGAGGGGGGAGCAAGGGGGCTTGTGAGGGAGTGAGGAGGGAAGAGGGGGCCTGTGAGGGGAGAGGGGGAGCAGGGGGGCTTAGGAGGAGAGGCGGGGGTGGCCGAAAGGTGGGTGCAGGAGCCGGGCAGGGGGAAGGCCTTTGGGGAGCAAGGCGCTGACTGCTGACCCCAAGGGCCCCCCATCCCCAGTGCCATAGCCCCCTGCACACTGCAGGCCTAGCCCCCAGCCCCCCAACCCTGCACCAGCTGGAGAGAGGCAGGGGGGCTGGTGCCCCCCAGCCTGGCAGCACAGTGTGGTGTTTTGTCGCTGGAAGCCTTTGGACACAGCGTCACAAGCAGAGGCTGAGACCACAGGGGGGCTCTGCCAGGGGGGGGCGGGCAGGGGGGGGCTGTTTACTTAGAACGTGTGTCTCCCTGGGAGGTTGGCCGGGTGGGGTCCGGACATAACGGCCAGCCGGTAAACAGGCAGAGAGAGGATGAACAGGTGGGCCTTACACAGGAAGCCTAGGAGGGGGTGTGGGCACCCAGCAGGGGCCCAGGGGGCGGGGAGTTTCCAGGCCACAGCTGACAGCAAGCCCCCTAGGTGTGAGGCTTTGGGGTAGCTCTCCTTTCTGCCCTGGGCCCCCCTGGGGAACCTGCACAGAGCGCCCAGTGGCATGGAGCGCTCAGCCCCCAGGGGGAGGAGTCCTCTTCCCAGGCCCTTTCAGGTGGTCCCAACTCTGTTCCCCCAGCTTCCTGGCCCCCTGCCCTCCCGCCCTCGCTCACCCCACATGCTGACCGTCATGCAGGTGGTCTCTCCAAGGACCATGGGTCTCTGGGGGTGTTCGTGGCAGACCCGTTCTGTCAACTAGCTGAGGGGGGCAGCAGCCAGGGGCAAAGCAGGCGGCCTTGGGGCATTGCAGGGGGGCTGGGGAAACATGGAGGCAGAAGGAGCGAGGTGACTTGGGGGGGGTGGAGAGTCCCATGCCAGGCCCAGAGGGGCGCTGGGGTGCCCCTGGCCTCCGCAGGGGGTGCCAGGTCCAAGAGGGCAGCAGTTCAGGGTCTCCTCTGCCCAGGACCCAACAGACCACAATGTCAGTGGGGGCAGCAGGGACTCCAACCTGATGTCCCAGGCTGGGCATCCCGAGCCAGCTCCAGGGGTCTGGTCGAGAGCACCCACGATGCCCTGGGCCCAGGCTGGACAATTCTGCCGGTGTCCCCCTTGAAAGATGCTGTCAGGACTTCCCCCACGGAGCCGCATGGGGCCCTGGGTCTGACCACGGGGCACGCCACCGCTCCCTCCCTGCTGCCTCTCTACCAACTTGCTTCTTGCAGCCCCGCGGACGCCATGTAGTTATGGGTTTGGGGAGTCGGGTCAGGCACAGAGGAGACACTTTCGTCCCTTTGTCCTTGTGATCACTATCAAATTGTAAATTATGACCAGTTCTGCAACCCACCCACCCCCACTGACTGGACCCTGCAGCCCACAGAGACGGCCACTCTGGACCCCGGTGAGATGAGCACTGTCCCTGAGCACCTGCCTGGACAGGGGGCAAGGCCACCCCCTCCTCACCCCCTGTGTACCCTGAGATGGGAGAGGCCCCTTGAAGACGGTCACAAGTCCCTGGCCACGTTGGAGGAGCCCACAAAATGACTCGCGTGTTCTCAGTGCTGTGTCTGGGGGCCCTGAGCGGGCAGGGCCCAAGCAAGGCCAACATGGTCAGCGTGCAGGACAACTGGCCTGGCCAGCTGGCCACCCACAGTGGTCAAAGCAACTGCCATCAGCCAGGCCTGGCCTTGCTCAGCACTCATGGGTGTGGGGCCTCAGTTTCCCCACATGGGCCCTGAAGGGGGGGGCGGGGCTGGGTGATTCCTGGGCCTGAGAGGGAAGCTGGCTGGTAGACCCTGCTCTGTAGCCACAATGCCCCCCACTCTCCCACATGACTCTGCCTTCGGTCTTCAGCTTGGGTGTGGTGGGGACGGGTGTGTATGGGGGTGCCCCTTTATCCAAGAGCCTCCTCCTTCCCTGGGGCCTGCAGTCCCACCCCACACCCAACCAACACGACTTCCTGTCCCTTCCTAGGGATGGGGCCTCTCAGACACACCCAAACCTAGTGAAGCCAGCTCCCACCCTCACCTGCCCGAGGGGGGCCTCCCTGCCACCCGCCCACCTGCCTTTCCTCCCTCAGCCCTTCCCCTTGGGGCCCCCACCCCCCCTACCCAGCACAGCCCTCCCTCCACAGGGGTCCCAGGACACTGGCTCCATCCCCTCCTCTGCCCCCGCCTCCTGCTCCACACCCAGCACCTGGGATCTGACAGGTGGGGGTAGGTGCCCCTGGCTCTCGGAAAAGGGGGGGGCTGCACAGAATGGGGGTCAGAGCTCCTGGAGTGAGTAGGAGCCCTGGTCTCAGGTTGAGGAGAGGCCCCACCTGGCTGTTCTTCCTGAGGTATGACCTTTCTCCTGCCCAGACTGGACAGGTGGGTCCCAACCCCCCCAACCCCCTCCTTGCACTGCTAACTCCAGCCCCAGGGCACCTGTGCAGAACGCCCCTTCCCCAGATCCCCCACATTCCCCCAAAGCGAAAAGTTCTAGGACCAGTCCCTGGTGTGGACCCAGGCCCTCAGAGGGTCCAGGGGCGGGACAGCTAAGTAGCCCCGTGGGTCCCAGACTCTAGCCACCAGGCCCAGGGGGAGGACCAACCAGCCTTCCCTCAACCAAGGATGGAGAGGAGTCCCCAGAGTCGGCATCAGGGTGGGGGGATCCTATCAAGTGTCCACACGAGGCACACACAGCACCGGGGAGAGGGGCATCCACACCCCCCATGAATGCTCACGCATGTTACCCCACAACTTCACATTCTGTACGCACATGGATTCACGGGGGAGGAGCACACTGCACACTGCACACATGCGCACACATATGTATGCTTCAGGAGCGGGGAAGGACACACACATGCACACCTTGACACCCAGCATCTGGGGGCCAGAGGTGCGCACCCCTTCACATGCTACACACGTGTTTGCACGCAGCACACGCAAGAGAGGTGAGATACACTCACACTGTATACATTGAGACACCGCCCCAGAGGGCGGAGGGTACACACACACATGCACATACATTTGCACATACACATACACACATGCACATCGTACACACGTTTGCATGCAACACACCAGAGAGGGGCAGGTGCGCACGTGCACACGCACACACACACACAGAGGGGTGACTGCAGGCCAGGCCCGAGGGTGCCTACACGCCTACCTCGGGAACGTGGCCCAGGCCCTCACCTGCCTTGGTCATGTGTCCGCAGGTGACTCAGCTGGACCAGAGGCTCCTGCTCATCACGGACCTGCTCCAGCAGCTGCTTGCCCTGCAGGCTGGAGGCCCCCCTGGAGGAGGCGGTGGCTGCACCGCCCAGCAAGAGCTCCACCTGCCCAGCAGCTCACTCCCCACCTACGAACAGCTGACCGTGCCCCGCAGGGCCGCCGATGAGGGGTCCTGATGAGGGCCCAGGAGGGCCGGCGGGTCCAGAGGGGTGTCGAGGAGGAGCTGGGACACCCCGGGCAGGGTGGTGCCCTAGAAGGTCCAGGAGGCCAAGCCCGGGAGGGTCACAGGCCCGGGCTGGGGTGGAGGCTGGCAGGTCCAAGCCTGTCGCCCCAGTCCCTGTTCCCATGGTGCTGTGTGCTGGCCAGTGCACAGGGATGGGGGCCGGGGCTGCTCTCCCCTGGGCTGGGGGCACCTGGCAGGCAGTGGTTGGGATACGGAGCAGTGTGGGCCAGGGCCGGTCACCCTGGATGTCTCCAGAAGCTTCACAAGAGACTCAGAGAGTCAACCTGGCATCCTCTTTGGGGGTCCTTGAACCCAGAACCCAGAGCAGACAGGGGTCTCTCAATGAAGTCAGCTGTCCCACTCAGTTCCTTCCCAGGACTCTCAGGAGATGCCCACCTGGGCTGGAGAGACAGATGTCCGAGCTACCTCCTCCCTGGAGGGCCTGGCCCCACCCCCTCAGAGAGACGGCTCTGAGTCCCATTCTATATGATGAGCGCTAGACAGGTACACGGACCCTGAGCCCAGCCCAGCCGGGAACCAGGGCTGCCCTGGGCAGGGACCCTCTGGTATCACAGAACTCCGGGTGATCATGTGATTTTACACGGTGTGGTGTTGGTTCATGGGGTGGGATCCCTAATAAATGGGAGAATCACGTGTGTGTGCACTTGTGCTTATGGGGTGCCTGGGCCTCGGCTCCCAGCCCCCACCTAGGACCCCTAGCTGGTACCACTGACCGCAATGCACCCAGTCACTCCCCTGAACCCAATGCCCCCAGCGGCTGCCCCAAACGCTATATCCTCAGCTGTCACACCCAACCCCACTACCCCCCAGCTGCAGCCCCCAATGCTGTGTCCCCCAGTCACCACCTCACCCCCTATTCCCTGTGCGCACCCCCAGCACACTCACTGTCTTGTTTGTGTCTCTAGTATCTTGTCACTCAGGTTCTGTGTATCTTTGCTGTCCCATGTTAGTGTGTCTGTGTCTGTCTCCTGCACATCCACGCACCATGCCTCAACCCTCTGGACTCCCCACTTTCCAAAGTCCCTGCCCCCGACTTCTCAGCCTGGCAGTGGGAAGGAGAGGGGCTGTGTGAGATTTCCAGGGCCTGTACTGAGCCAGCACAGCTGGTACCAGAGGCAGTGGCCAGGGCAGCGGCATGTGTGTTGAGGTGACCCAAGACCCCCTTGGGGGAGAGCACCCAGCCCTTCACAGGGCCAGCGCCCCCCAGGGTCTTAGCATCCCGACTCCGGGTCCCATGGGGGGTCAGTTCCTGAGAAGGCCAGCCCTCAGGTCGTGTCGAGTAAATATTTGTGGAAACCCTGGGGAGCCTGGTTGGAAAGTGGGGCTCCCCGCAGGCACCCTGGCCCAGAGCCCCGGCCTGCCCTCGGTGGGCGCGGCATCCACACTGGCTTTGTCTGCGTCCAGCCAGCCTTGCTGGGCAGCGGCTCAGGATGGGCACCATTGCCGTCCTCTGGGGTGTGAAATGCAATTTACCTGAAATAAAGCCCAATTATGGAATTAGCTAATGAAGGCCGCGCTGGAGGCCTGGCCACGAGGGCCCGGGCCCGCGGGCCGCGGGACAGATGGCGCCCGTGCTGCATTCCTTCACTGGCCGCTAGCTGACTCGCAGGGCACAGGACCATCTGGTGTGAGGCTCGTCCTGTGTGCCCACACAATGGCCCAGCGGACCTCTCCCGGGGAAGACCGTCGCCCAGGCAACACAGCATGTGCAGTCCGGCCCCGCCCCCGGCCCCGCCCCCACCCAGCTCCGCCTGGTCCTTTGTGGGCCTGGCCTGGAGGCCGGACGCGGGCGGCCGCTGGCCATGTCCCTGAGCACTTTATCCCCAGCGCCCGCCTTTGTCTCCAAATTGGGCTCCTTATTGAGGTCCCCGGAGTCCAGTGGGCGCCAGCACATCTGCTCAGGCCGGGGAAGGGGCAGCCAGGCCTGCTGCCCACGGTCTGGGGCGCCCACCACCTCTGCCCACCACCTACCCCACCCCTAGCCCCGACGGCAGCCCCTGGGGGGAGCCTGCCTGAGGTAGTCACCTCAGGAGAGGCTGTGCCCTCCTTGGGTGGGGGCCAGAGGGAGGAGGCCAGGGTAGGACCAGCCCTCCCTCTACCGCGATCCATCTTGTCACCTGGTGGGATGGGCAGGGCCCTGGGCACGCAGTAGGCGCTTAGTGAAGACAGGTCCTTGGCCGGGGTGAGGCGAGGTATGGGCTTAACACCCTACCTGCCCCCCAAGTCCTCACTGTGCCCAGCTTCCCCTGGAGCCAGCGTGAGCCCCCCACCCCCTACAAACCCAAGAGGCCACCCCTGCTTGCCCCAGGAGGCTCGCTCACACAGTCCCTACAGCAGGCTGACTGGCCGAAGCCTGTCCCATATCCCATCCCGAGTGGATCTGCTAGGTGCCAGAGCCACCTCGAAGAAGGGGCTGACCCTCCTTAGGTGCATGGGCAGGCAGAGCTTCCCTCCCTGGGCACGAGCCTGCACCCCCGACCACCCTGGGCCACCTCCGAGTATACCAGTGGCTCGTGGGCACTTGAAAACTTGGCCTTGCTCTTCTCAGGCCCCTCCCCCCGGCCCCCCTCGGCCCCATGCATTAGGGAGATGAGGTCAGTGGCCAGGAGCCAGGCCCCCATCCCGACCTGGGCGGCGGCCCTTGAGGGCTGCCCAAGTGGTCCTTTCCAAGCCCTACTTCAGCATGGACCCTTCGAGGTCCCTGAGCCCACAGGCCAGTGACCTCCGACCCCATAGCCAGCTGCTGCAGTTTCACCTGCTTGAGTGGGGCTGCCCCCCTGCATGGGGGACCCAGCGGGGCAGAGGGCAAAGGGGATGGTGCCTGCCAGAAGCACCGCGTGGAGATGAGACCTGACATTGTGCCCCCAGGGTCGGATTCTTTGGCCTCTAGTGGGAGGGGGAGGGGCGCATGGCCTAGGCACATCTGCACACACCCCCCATCCTGCCATTCCAGCAGCCCCTCTATTTTTTGTTGGGGGGGGGCGCTGGGGGCTGGGGCAGGACTATACGTAATCCCCCCAGAGCCAAACCCGCTCCCCAGCCCTGTCCCCAGCTCCCAGCCACCTCCATCCCCACCTGCTTTCTCTGGCACCCCCCTGAGAATCTGTCCCGCTCAGGGCCCAGGGCGGCATGGGGGGTAGGGGAGGAGGGGACCTGCGCCCGGACACTCAGCGTGTATGCACACACGCATGCAGCTGGGGAAACCGAGGCCCCTCCCACACCTGCCCTCGGGGTTGGCATTGGTGAGGCCTCCGGAGGCAGAGCCCCTCTGTGGAGTCGCTTGCTGGGCCAGGAAGTCCTCGGCCGGAACAACAGACTCCCAGAAGCACAGCGCCCCCAGAGTGGCTGGATGGCAGGGGCCACAGGGACCGGATCCAAGGGAAAGACACCACATTCCAGGGGGATTAGACGACTGCCCCCTGCCACCACCACCCCCATGCCCTGCTACCCCATGAGAGCCAGGAGGGAGGTCTCCCAACCCCAGACTTGCCCCAGGACGAGTGCCCCGCTGTCTGAGGGAACAGGCCCACTGGCCCCAAGGAGGCGGTCAGGGCTCTGCCACCTGGAAGCGTAAGTGCTCCCCCTCCCTTGGGCCCTCAGAGGCTCCGGGGCGGCTGGAGACAGGCTGGCGGGTGGCGGGGGTTCTGAAAGGGGCAGCTTGTGCTGGGATTGCTGGGGTGCCCCGAGGCCCCGGTGGGGGTGGAGGCTGGAAGGGCCTGGCCTTTGGGGACTAGCCTGCTGGGCGGGAGTCCCCGCCCGGGAGAAGAAGAGCTCTCTTGAGAGGTTAATGTCATTAAGTCTTCTCAAAGGGCTTTAATCAAATCCCACTCCATCCACGGCCCCCAAGGCAGGGGCTCGGGAGAGCAGAGGGTGGACAATGGGCTCTGTCGTGTCCCCTTCACTGTCCGCTCAGCCCCAGGACTGGGTGCAGTCTGGAGGTCAGGGCCACCAGGGGCACATGGGAAGGATGTCCTGCTGACCTGTCACCTACCCTAGGCTGGTCTCCTTCCCCTCGAGGTGGGGGTAGTCCCTGCCCTCTTGTCCCCGGGACCCCAACCTCACAGGCAGAACTCCCCACAAGACCTCCCTACCCGCTGTGCTGGAGAGAGATCCTGCCTGGCTCACTGCTGCGGGTTACAGGGTCAACACTTCTGACCCTGGGGCTCTGCCACAATCGGATTCGGGCAAGGACAGTGGGTGGTGGCTGTGGGAGTTTTGAGGGTTGGCGGCACCCTCACACCTACAAGGCCCCCACCCGTCCTTCACTGAGTTTCACCCGGAGGCGTTTGGGTGGTAATTCTGGCTCATAGCGACTACCCCCATGCCCTGGAGGTCCAGTGGTTATGAGGTAGTCCGAGGTCGGCGGTTCGAAACCACCAGCAGCAGCTCAACTGGAGACAAGACGGGGCTTTCTATTCCTGTCAGCAGTCACAGTCTCGTACAGCCACAGGGGACACTGAGTCACCCGTGGGACAGAACAGACCCTGCCACGGCTCCCAGGCATCTGTCTGTACAGGCACAAGGGATTGGGCCTTTCTCCCTTGGACCGGAACCACTGACCTGCTGGTGGACAGCAAGCACTTCAGAGGGACCCGCCCATGGCCGGGGCCAATCAAATCATTCTCCCATGTGTCCACAGCGAGGGAGGGTCCCCTTGTCCCTACCCCCCACCACAGGGCCCTCCCTGCACCAGCTGCGCCCCAGGCCCTGGGAGGCCACCCACAGCCAGTCCCTTCTACTACTCACCACAGGGTGAGCAGGAGTGAGTTTCTGCACAGGTGGAACGTGGCAGGCTACTGTCCCCCCTCCACCACCACCCCC